ACTGAAAGTTGAACACGCAGCCCAAACTTCCAATTTTCTGAACACGCAGCCCAGATAGATAGAATTTGCATGTAGCTTATTTCACTTCATCGGCATACAGTCCATTTCATTCCATTTGCATGTAGCTTATTCATCTCATTGGCACACAGCCCCCATTCATCTCATTGGCACACAGCCCATTCATTCCATTGGCGCACAACCCATTCATTCCATTAGCGCACAGCCCATTCATTTCATTATTGACATATGTATTCATTCTGAATGCAGGTTGGTTCCCGCAGTGTGCGGGGGTATGGTTCCACCATCGTGCGGGACTGGTATGCCAAGCTCCCGGAGGCCGTCCGAGATTTGGTAGATTTGGCAGGATTCGGGCCTTTCTGCGTCTGGTTGTCACGTTGTCCTGCCAGGAGGACACTGATGGCAGCCTTGGTAGAGAGATGGTGGGACACCACCAACTCCTTTCATTTCTCTGCTACCGGGGACATGACCATGACCCCTTTTGACTTCGCTGTATTGACCGGCCTTGACATCGGAGGTTGGTCCATCCCCTACGATGAGGATATGGGCGAGTGGGAGGCCGCCTGGATGTATCTATTGGGGGCTCGCCCACCTGTTGACAGGGTCTCTGGGAGAGTCCGATACACTTGGTTCTCTTCCCATTTCCGGCGGGCGGAGATGGTGCCTGAGACTCCCGAGGAGACAGAGCAATATGCCCGTGGTTTCCTTATGTTCCTCTTCGGGACTACCCTGTTTGCCGACAGAGGGAACACAGTTGGGATATACCTGCTGAGCGCTCTGGTTGACCTATCACACGTGGTTTCCTTATGTTCCTCTTCGGGACTACCCTGTTTGCCGACAGAGGGAACACAGTAGGCTATACCTGCTGAGCGCTCTGGTCGACCTATCACAGGTCAGTAGATATGATTGGGGTGGCGCCGGCCTGGCTACCCTTTACTTTTATATGAGCGCGACCTCCCGCGGGCGGGGTGATTAACTTGGCAGCTACTGGAGAGCCTGGGAGGCACTTTTCTGTCCTCTTGATTTACATTTATGCTTTTCATTACTTGTACATTGCACACACAGCGCACTTTTACAGTCTGTATTTTGCTCTCAACATTTCGTATTGACATTCTGCACTACTTTTCTCAGCTATGGGTCTATGTATACTTCCCATCATTAGCCCCAGAGCTGGAGGTAGTAGGGATTCCCGTGACCCCATATTCATTGATATTCGAGGGCCCGCACCAGCCGAGGCCTCGAGAGACCCTCCTTCGCCTGCGATAGTATTTCGACACGGTGCGACATTCAGAGGTACCTCAGAACTTCCAGTTCTTTTCATTCTCATCTTTGATTTGCTCTGTATATTCTCGATTTCTGATTGGTTTATGCATTCATCATCCGCAGATTACATGGCAGCCCTGGGTGTCCCTGGGTGACGGCCTCCGTCTTCAGTACACCGGAGCGTCGGACATCTCCCAATATAGGGTCCTGCTTGAAGGGCCGGTTGGCAGGGTATGGTTCCTGGGGGAGCGCTTTCAGCGCCAGGTATGGGGGTATCTTTCTCAGGATATTCCCGCAGTACCCCCAGCCAGTATGCGGACCGCTGACAGACTCTCTTACTCAGAGGTAGTCGGCGCCATGCTGGGCGCTGATGCTTTACTGCATGTTGAGGAGGGGGACTACGCCACTTACCGTCACATATACTTGATGCCTCCATTGACGGAAGCTCGTATCCCGATGATGAGGCCTGCCGGTATGTCATCCTCGGACCAGGCTCGGGCTCGGGCTGCAGACGCCCCTTCTACTAGCAGGGCCGGTACGTCTAGAGGTGGGAGTAGACCGGTTCCTCCGGTTCCGTCGGTTCATCCTCATCCCGGATGGCCAGATATGCCTACTGAATTGATGGCATGGCAGTATGGGGCTAGCTTTCCGACTCCGATTCCACTAGAGCCTCCGATGCCCAGTGATCGATACACCATTGATCCGGACTCACCGCCGGTATGCTCCACTTTTTTATTCATCATTCAGATGTTTAGACACTCTTCTGTTCACTGATGATTATGAGCTCATTTTTGCAGCCATCGCGAGGATACATGGAGGAGGTGGTTGGACTGGTGGCCACACTCGAGGGCATGGTCCTACGCAGGGAGGCACAGTTGTCAGTCGCGGGCATTCAGGTACCCTTCAGTTTTCTGGCATTTATCATACTTCTGATGACATGCTGATTTCTATTGCATCGATAGACTATTTGTGTAGAGCACATCTGACACACACCCCTCTTGTACACTGTATTTACATGCACTCACTTCATGTAGCCTCTGCTTGTATCTGCATCTGATGTATATATTTGGACTAATGTATTTGAATTGAACTCCTTGTTTTCAGATGCCTTCATGGTCAGGTCAGCCGCAGGCTAGGCCATCCGGGCCTCATTGGGGAGCTGGGCCATCTGGGCTTTTTCAGGGGGCGGGGTCATCTCGGCCTTCCCGAGGAGCTGGGCCATCTAGGCCTTTTCGAGGAGCTCGAGGGGGGCCTGTCCGCAGACGCAGGGCTCACGTTATGGAGGTGGAGCCTGATGAGGAGGAGGAGGATGCTGAGGAGGAGGAGGAGGCTACCGATCGTCAGTTCGAGACGTCTGCCGGGGAGGAAGAGGAGGAGGCTGAGGGGGATCCTGAGGATGACAGCTCCGACTCAGATGGTGGTGTGGAGATTATCCCGCAGAAGAGGATGAGGCGTGCTTCCCGTTCCCACTCCCGAGGACTTTGATGCTGTTATTTCCTGCTTTATTTTTCTTTTTACTAGTAGTTTGTAGCACTTTGCACATTGTTAGGTAGTTTTATTTTTTTTGTAAAACTTGTACCCTTGTTTGTTGCAAAGCATGATGAAATGAAATAGCTTTTGAAAAGATGTTTGTATTTTAAACTTTTAGCATCGTATCGCATCAATTTATTTTGCACAAAAATGAAATTGAATGGAACTGTGCATTGTGTAATCACCAAGTCAGGTAGTGAACCGACGCAACAAACTAAACAACTCAACTTACTAAGATATAACAGAATCTTTAGCAAGTTTACAACTCGATAAACAAAATGCAACAACGCAAATAAACAAGACTTTAACAAAGATTGCTTAAACAGAGAGCAATGACTCAAAAACACGAAACACGTCCGCTCGACAAACAACTCGATAAGCAAAATGCAACAACTCGATAAACAAAACTCAACAAAAACAAAGTGTACTTCTGACGATCTAGGCATCGGGACACATCCGAAACGGAGGGAGATGAAGGCTTGTGACTTTCCCGTTGCATGGAAATGCTTGGAACTTTCCCTCGAAGAGTAAAACAGGGCCAAGGAGATACACTGCAGCATTGCCAGTCATCCCCGGGAGCCGGCCGGCCATTTTTCGAAAAAGTAAATGGCTGGCCAGCTATTTCTGAAAAAGTAAATGGTTGGCCAGCCAGAAAAAGTGGCTGGCCGGCCATTCTGTCTTGCAGCCATCAGATTTTTGACACGTGTCCCCGTGAATAGTGTCTTTCTTTCTATAAAAGCTTCAACTTCGGGAACATTCATTTCATCTTAGTTTTAGGCAAAGACGGAGGCGTTTCTCGCAGAAAATATCACATCTTGGATCTCTTCTCTAGATGGCTCGGAAAAGCTGAATTTCCGGGGTTTCGGCTTGAATGCACTATTCACGCTGAGCCGTACTCCGCTACAGCTTCCTTTTCTCCATGCCGCGGCAAGGTTCTGGAATCCAGTGACGCATGTTTTTAGCTTCGGCGGCCAAGAGATGTGTCCCACTTTCGAAGATTTTCAGGTTTTGATGGAGTCTGAGTGCTCTGAAGTGATCTTGCCTCAGCTCCGTTTTGGCCATGCTCAGGCTTTAGGGCGGATGTGTGGGCTCACGGCGCGTGACGCTCGGTCTTTGATCTGCAGTGGGGAATTGGACATCCTCGGTTTGGTCCAACGTTTTTCCGACGCCGGTGACCGCAGCAACCATTATTGGCAGGGTTTCCGGCAACACGCCCTCTGCTTATGTTTGTTGTCTCACTTTCTGCTTTCCTCGGGCTTCGGCGGGGCTAGCATTCGCCTGATTGAAGTCGCCCAAGGTTTGAGAGAAGGAAAGAGCTGTATTGCCATGACCTTGGCCGAGACACTGATGGGCTTAGATTCTGTCCATCGCCGGGAGGCGACTAGGTTTGCCGGGAGTCCACTGCTGCTGCAGGTAATGTGGTGGGACTGGTGGCCACACTTGAGGGCATGGTCAAAAGGCCTCGCCATTTGTCCCAAAATTCTTCCCTTCCACTTCATCTTGTAATCTTTGCGTAGCCCAAATGGGAGGCCACACCCGATAGGGGTCGCCGAAATAGTGAGAGCTTTGTGTCGTGTAAGGCCCATTGGCCTCAAGCATCCCGCAAAACAGTCGGATAATGGACCATGGGTCGCCCGGTCCCGGTCAAAACTGGTCGATTTGTGGGCATTTTTGACCTATTCGGGGAGGTTAACGGCCTCCCGGTATAATTCCATCTCCGATAATCCGGCATAGCCTTGTTACCCTTTGACTTCTTAAGGCTTCTCCAGTTTGCCCTCAATTTCAGAGCTGTGTGATCAAACTCTGACCTCGAATGGGAGTCCGGGTGATCTGATGTATGGACCTTGGACAGTTGTGGTGGAGGGGGTGGAGCCGGCCCCGTTGGAAGACTCGTGTCCCTCTTTGTAAAATTTGGACAGTTGGTACAGTATCTGGCTAATTCGAGGAAATTGCTGAACAACAGGTGCCTGCTCAGGTATTGGGGCTCCTGCCCGGAGGAGGGATTTGTTTGTGAAGCCGACGCCTGTATTCTGTTGTTTGCAACGTCTGGCAATGCTCGATCGCATAGAAGGCGTTGATAAGAAAGTGTGAAGGCTGGTGGTGCCAGACTCCCATGAGTATTGTGAGCGTATAGCTGACGTCGTGCGCGGAGAGACATGGAGAGGAAGTAGTCGAGCTCGATCGCACAGATCCACTTTGCGTTCATATATCTGAGAGATCTTTGGCTAGCATACGCGGTCTCTGACATCACTCACGGGTATTGTTGTTTGCTATATTTCTAGTATGGAGGCACCCTAGTTCGTTACGAGTGGACGCATAACGTACATAGTTATCATAAAGTAGTCCTTGATAAAAGTAACCCACTGTTCTGGACAACCTCTGTTCTGACGTCTGCGCCTTTTTGGCTTCTTCTGGTAACAGGGGGTAGAGAAGGAACACTTGGCTGCTCCGTCGATTAGATCCCAGATCGGTGGACGTCGACGACTCGTTCCCAGGTGGCTTGGGGAATGCCGTTGGGTTGGAGCTAATGTGCTACTCAGACCAGCAATAGATAGATAAATAGCGAAAAGGAATAAATTAAACAGATAACGCGTATTAGCATAACAGCTTAAAATAAATGCAAGACACAGTCGAGCATATCAAACACTAAGTCAATAACTGAATAAACACTGTCCTAAACACTGATTATTTATCCTGTTCACTGTTGTCCCTTGCAAAAGAATCGATATCTCGCAGTATACTATCCTCTCAATTACTGGCTGATGCCGCGCGCTTGATCCCGTAATACCAAACTGATGCTCGCAGGCCTCGAAATGTCGACAATACTAGAACTGATGCCCGCAGGCCTGATACTGGTCATATGAACCGCTACCCGCAGGCTTTGCAATACTCACATCACTATACTGATCTGGATGCCGCGAGGCCTTCTGTACTTGAAATTCCTGAACGAAGCCGCAGGCTTGATGCCGCAACTATATACTGGGTAATACATTTGCAGTTCCTTGTAGGGGACAGACCGCACTCTCGAAAAGCACAAAACAGATAAGCTGAGAGCCAACACCCTAGATGTTGGGGTAGGGTTCCCTGTACTATTGTGTCAGGAAACTAAGGGTTTTCATTCACGACAGAACCGGGCTTTCCAAACAACCTATAAACGGGTAAGCACGTGTCCTATTTGGAAAATGGTCACTATTGGTCCGAATATGCACATGGTCGACATGGTCAAGAGAGGCGTGCCGCCAATAAAACCGGGGTTTTGTGTTCCATAACTGCGTACGAGCCCACAACAGGTAGCTTTGGGTCATGCCTTGACAAGACAAGCCTCGGCACAAACGTTCGGAATAGAGGATGGCAACATGGTTCCAGGCGCAAATGCAAATGTAATGCAAGCAAACACCCAGTGTATGTTCAAAAACAGATCATCATGAGTTCGAATCAAGTTCTCCTAATTCCCAGCGCAGGTCGCCAGAAACTGTAGACAAGCGCCGCGGGGACCTCGCTACAGGACTTCCAGCGACGATACCGAAGCTAGTGATCGTATCGAGTCACGGTTCTAAGTCTGAACCAAAGAGTCCAATCCGGCAATCGTTTTGAGAAAACCGTTTTTTTGAAAGAAGTGCCAACTGACTGCTTTGCCAGATTCAAGAGTCGCCACCCATAAATATTATATTTGGGAATTTTAGGGAAACCCTGACTCGGTGCCAAAGGCCCGTGTCGTCATCACCAAAGTTGCCTCGGCTGGGACTTGGGTACGATTGCGGGAAGGTCACTTGTGAGCACCCCGCTCGCCTTCGAAAGTGATAGACGCCTTCTATTGCGGGGTGAGGCTCGAACATAGAGTGGTAGATCATCTGGTTTGACTCACTCACAGCGTTCACGAGGAGTTTTCCTCTAGTATCGTTGTTGTCACTTAGCCTCGATGGGCTGCAGAGTACTCGACGAATTGCAAATGAGTAGCCGAACGTAGCATACAAATATAGATCGAGTCGCCTGAATGGAACGAACATTTATGCTTTGTTTTTTGAAAATGGTTTGCTACCGCAGGTAGGCTTGAAACATTTGATGATTTATTTCAATTTAAGTAACCCACACCTTCACCGCACAGGCATTCAAGCAGTTAATCATATAGACTAGCCTCTGGCATAGCATGCTATTCATAGGCACTACTCCACGAACGACATGCAAGGCACAGCATGCGGCTAAAGCCGATAAAAGCTCACCGGGTACTGCCAAGCCAAATAGAGAACTTATTAGAAATCATGCATGAATCCTATGTATACAGGAATGCCTAATGCCAAACATGCAAAATGCACTATACGCAGGCTCGGGCTTTTCTAAGATGATATATGAAATGTTTACAACTACCATATATTCCAACTTGGAATTGAAAGTACGATGCAGTAGTATGATGCGCCGAGCTCAGTGCATGCAATACAGATGAATGATGCAAACATGTTGTCATACTGTATGCTAATTTAAACATGCCCTAATCTAAACATCGTAAGCGGATAAATAAAAGGGAAGAAAGACGTTGGGGTTGGAAGACATACATCACACTCACCCCACTTATTACAGTTGTGCCCTCACTCGGAGGGTCGAATAAATATACAGTTCCAAATATTACAGTCCCCAAATAAAAGAATATTACAGTCCGAAATACTTAAAACAATTTCTAATTAATGAATTAATTAAGAAAACAAGTAAAAACTGGCATGCAAGCCAGGGACTGCCTTGCTTCTAGTGGATGTGTATGTCCGGTTATTGTCTTGCGCGAAAATCCACCGGAATGCCTCAATTAGCTCTGTTCACCTGTTCTTGAAATGCGTGCCAAGCCCGCGAAAAGGTTGCTGATTCTTCGTTTTGCTGCAACAGAGGAGCAGGAAAGGGCATAGCAATGTATCTGCACAATGTATGCATGTCTCGATCCTCGTGCCACCAAATCACGCATACGAGGCAATGATGGCCGGGAGTCGAAATGCATAACTCATATAGGATGAATGCACATGAACTACAGCTAAAACCTAACTCCATCATGGATAATCCGGAGTGTCGGTGACTAGGGAATTGAGACACAATTCGTCACTCGGAGTACGAAATGCACCTCGTTTCCCGTGCCCGGACTAAACTCTATTACGGACACGATGCAATATGTATGATATGCATGAAATGCAACAAGATACAATCCTAACATACTCAATGCTATGAAGAATTGAGATGCTCGAAATGCGTGCACACGAGCACGCAAACCAAGAAAATGCACGAATGCAATGAAAATGATATGCCTCGAAATGCGGTGCACAAGGCACGCAAACCGAGAAAATGCAGAATGCTATGAAAATGAAATGTCTCGAAGTGCGTGCCACACGGGCACGCAAACTGAGAAAGAGATATGTGTCTCGAATGCGTACACGCGGGTAGCGCAAACCGAGGTGATGATATGTGTCTCGAAATGCGTGCCAGCGGGCACGAAACCGAGGCGATGATATGTGTCTCGAAATGCGTGACGGGCGCACGCAAACACAAGGCGATGATAAAATGTGATGAAATGGCATGGAAAATGCACGACATGGACTTTATACTACATGAGAGAGCCTCAGCCACACTCACATAAGATGCCGATGGCGAAATGAAGTGCCTCGAAATGCGTGCACACTGGCACGCAAACCGAGGCGATGCTAAAATGATGCGAATGACATGGAAAATGCAACATGGACTTATACTAACATGAGAGAGCCTTAGCCACATTCACATAAGATGCCGATGACAGAAAATGAAGTGCCTCGAAATGCGTGCCACACTGGCATGCAAACCGAGGCGATGCTAAAATGATGCGAATGACATGGAAAATGCAACATGGACTTATACTAACATGAGAGAGCCTCAGCCACACTCACATAAGATGCGATGGCAGAAAATGAAATGCCTCGAAATGCGTGCACACTGGCACGCAAACCGAGGCGATGCTAAAATGTGATGAATATGGCAAAAATGATATGCAAGCATACTAATGGAATTTCAGCACTAAAATATGGGGGAAAAAAGTCCCGAAATGAAGCGAAATGACATGAAATGCAAGGAAAATGTCCCGAAAATGCAACATTAGGCACCCGAAATGGCCTATAGCTATGCAAACATGCACAATATTGGACATGCAATGCAAAGACAGAAGCTAGACCGTCCCGAAAGATGCATTTCACAGTTATAAAACATGGCCAAACAGAAAGTATAGGTAGGGAAAAATAGCATGCAAGAATAGGGGCCAAAAGAGGGGTAATGAAGCAAGTGGTATAAGCAAAACTCAAACTGAAAAATTTCCTTCTACAAAACTGAAGATGGACCAAAAATATGAACATTTACAGTATATGGAAAGACCTCAATCAGTATACAAATATGCAAAATGTGATGCAGACAAGGCTCAAAAGGTGCTATAACATGAAGTATATAAAATAATCACCAAACAGAAAAAATGTGAATGAAACATGAAGTATAGGCCAAAATAAGGCCACTTTTAGTTCGGACCAAGGGCCAAAACAGAAGCAAAAGGGGGCTGCCATTTTATGCAAAAATGGGGCCAATAGGGGATATAACTACAAGTGACACATGGAAGCACCAAAAAATGTTGAGCCCTTTCTCCGATGTTGAACGAGGGGCTCAAAATAAGCTTTATATCAGTTTATAACATGCTCAAAAAAGATTTCTCACGGGCCAAAAATAGCATGCAAAACTATGACATACAAGAGGATCAATGAAGCAAGTATATTATGGAGGGCTCAAACAGGGTGGAGCCCTTAATTAAAGTGAAGATGAGCTCAAAAGATGGCCTTTTTCAGTTTAGGGCCGGAGCTTGAACCAAAAGGAAGTGAGGCTTAGAAATAGATCAAGAAAAAGGGTCAAAAGGGTAAAAGTGTTACTTACCCTTGAAGATTCAAACTTTTGTTGCTTCTGGATGGATTTGCAGCTTCTTTAGCCTTCAAGAATCCTTCCTTGTTGCTGGAAATGAGATGGTGGTGGTAGAGCTTGGTGGTGTAGAAGGAATAATGTATGGACTTAGGGTTTTTTTCAAGTTGAGAAGGAAGAAGATGGAGTTGGCT